TGATCTTGATCGAAAAAACCTCGCCAGTTATGTATCAAATATCGCATGCAGTTTTTGAAAGTGCGAATCTTGAATCTCAACTTGAAATCAATTTTTTCAAGGGCTACAAGCCAAATTTTTCATAACATATAGGGTCTATTCATGCGTCAAAGCATCCTCGAATTCGGTTTGTTTGCCAGCGCTTTTATAATTCTGAAAAATACATTTTTATGAGATGAAAGGCTTTAATTTTTTAAAAGGATAATACACTGAATTTAGTTTTTTACATTGCCCAAACATCGTAAAAAATACTTTTTCTTTGAAGGATGATTTGACAATTGAAACCATTGCTAAATATCTGTTCTTTCTGAAAAAAAAACCACAGTTGATTTCACTTGATACAAAATCAGAATTTTTTCTGTTCGAATGAAAAAAAAAGAACTAACAGTTCTGTAGATTCAAAGCTTTCATAACGCAATCAGTCTCATGATCGAGCTAAATTCGCAAATGAGAAGAACCAGTTTTGAATGCAAAATCGCATATTTTTTTTCTGCAATTCAAAGCTTAGATGATTTAATGAAAAAGTCTTGCTAGAAAAAAAAACGACATGTATCAGAGTAACTTGTTTTCAAAGCTCTCACCCTCAAATTTTCAATCAAATTCTGTTTCACATACCGAACAATGCTACCTTTCTATACGATATGATAGATTCGCAATATTTCTTTACAGATTAAAAGACTACTTGAGCTTTTCGCTAAACTAGAGCCAGCACAAAAAAAAATTAATAGCTAATGAAACTTTCGCCCCCACTGAATTTACCGACAGAAATCAAAGCTCGGCCAAGCTTTCCTTCTAAACGTCTAAATTCTACACGAAGCATACAAGTTTCTGTTATAACAGATAAACAGAAGTGCACAACCTAAAATATCTAAAATTCTGATTCTCACGCACTGAGGCAATGAAAAAAAAGAGATATTCAGACGTGAATATTCTTCTTTTTCGAAATTTTCAAATTTTCTCAATTTAAGAGTTGAGATAAATTTTCCTCAATGTGATTGAAGTTTGTCCTTAATAACTTTTTCCGTACATCATGAGATACACGTTCAGATATTAGATGAGACCTCTTTGTGTTCTCTGAGGTCTTACCAAAATATGCGCAAAATATCCAGATTTAAAAACAGTGGACACACTATTGGTAAGAACATTGGAATATAGCAGTTACTCCAGTTTTGTGCGATTGCACAAACCAAGTCTGCATTACGTTGTTGAACGTAGCAATTCAGAACTACATTTAAGAATATTTTCAGAGAATATTACTTGTAGCTGAACAGAGATTGTTTTCAGAGAACGATTCTCTCTTTTAACCGAAACTCTTTACAAAAAAAAAAACTTGCTGTTTGTCAAAAAAAATCCTCAGTGCTTCTAAACATGTTGAAATATCCAGATGGATATTCTGATCGAAAGCAATGATCGCATTTTTTTTTTGAAAGATGATCAGCAGAAGCTACAATAAGCAGTGAAGGCATAGTTTTTTGTTGCACCGAAATTCATTCTTTGCAATGAAAAAAAAACATGTTTCGTACGTTTCATGTCACCCAGTTCTGTTTTTTCCAGAAAACGATGGTGATGATTCCTTTACAGATTTCAGCAGAATTCAGGAACAATCATACCATAGAATTTGCTATACTGGATCTGGGCGTTGAAGAAACATAGATAGCTTTCATGAATTGCAAATTAGTCGTGAATCACCACACATGATGTTAGGATCATTTCCGCTGAATTTTACTTATGACTCAAAAGTTACATATCGTAGTTTCTGCAGTGGAAACGTTCTATTCTTATACTTTATTATACCAAAATGTACTGCTAATTCATTTTGTATAATTTGGTTTGCATTTTCACGTTGTCTATGTCGAAAATGGGCTAATGCTTCCAAAAACGCACTATTTCAAAATTATCAAAAACAAAAAAAAAGGAAACATCAGAACATGAACGACATCATGTTTGTTTTGTTCACGAATGTAGTCTTGAATTTGGTCGCAAGACTGCAAGACAATTTTATGCAACTCAGTTTGGAAAAAATCCGACTATCAGAGGATTAATTTTTTTTTCTGCTGTCGGGATATTTCTCAACGTGAGTTTGTTTACACCTATTTTGCCGCACCGCTGCGATTATCTATAAGCACAAATTTCTTTGAAACGGCAGTTCAAAGAATGGAAAAAATATTTTGTTCTAGGCAGCGAAAAAAAAATTTCCCTTTTCTCTAACACTCAAAATTTGCCACTATGTTGAATTAAACACAGTTTTTTGTGCTCAATTCTGCATCTAAATCTCCTCTCCGTTTTCTAATCGATCGCATTATTTATATGCTGTATAACCATATGTCACTCGGTTCAAATTATACAATGCCTTATTTTATTATACTTCCTAAAATTCCACATGTTGCTTAACTACTTCATGTAAAATATAAATTCAGAATCACTAATGTCATCCAATATCGCCCAATACTTTTGGTTTCTATGTAATTTCTGCTCACCACGCTATTTTTTTATTAACATGTTCTCCACAAGTTCCCTTCCAACCCACAACTTCCTCGTATCAACATTCAAATACCGGTCACGTTATACTCCTATAAATCTCCACGCCAACTTTCCCATTCATCAATTTCCGGCTATAATACGTCTGTTCACTTCCTACAACTACATGTTACTGCCTCTCCCAAGCAGTCCCCTACGTCACATCGTTCATTCCGTATATATCTCTCCGCTTGAGGACAAGCTCACTCTGTACCCCTAGGATGAGGTGAAGGTCGCTGTTTGGTTATCCAATCCGCCTAAGCCAACTCCTCCACTCAATCAGTCTGGAGATTATGGTACCCAAATCGAAGTTCTCTATGGTCTCGCCGTAACACGTGTACTCCTTACACACGTAACTCGGAAGACGTTCAACAATAGCCGAACAAGCTCGAGGACGAGCTTTCTGAAGGAATGGAGATGTCGGGACGCAGCTAAGCCCCGCCTGCTGCTCTCCCGTGAGCTGGCCGAGAAGGTCAGATAGGAGCCAGTGACCCCCGACGACCGTGCACCGTAAGGCTGCTTAGTCAGTCCTCCCCCTTCCCCTTTCTTGTAATATATGTAGATAATAAATATATATAATACCAACCTGTACCGCTACACATCAAGCTAGGGCCCGTACACCCCTAGACTTGACAGAAGTACTAACTTTTCCAATATTAATTTGTTTTCAGATGGCCACCATACGATCCGAAATCGTAAAGAGCATATATTTCTTTAATTTCATGTAAGTTTTAGAGTTTTCTATCTTGGACGGATGCCCCTGTCAAGAATTCCTGAGCATGAGGACGATTTCATTTCGCCCCCAGTCCACCGTTTCTTGTTTTTCGAAAATCGCTTTGTCAGATATCGCGACCCAACGTCTACCCTTCCTCGACTGCTCTTCTTGATTCGTTTCTGGTTCAATTTAGCGCTTGCGTCTCGCATTTCCACTTATCGTAATGATTGTGTATCTCAGTACAATTTTCGAGGTAATTCCATCGTTGGCGCTGCAGCCTCTGACTTTTGTGACTCATTTTATTTATTTCTATTTCTATTTTATTTTTATTTTATTTCTATTCTTAGTCTTTATACATGAAGATAGGCGGCGTGGGTCGAAGGTGGTAGGAGGGGGAGGGGGTACAATGGGGATCAAGGAGAATGTGATTTTGGTGAAATCAAAGGAGACTTTGTTTCAAACCCTGCAAACAACCATGTGCTGTGCCGCGCTCGGCACGCTTCGTCTTCTGTTCCAGATGAGAACAAAATCCTTTTTGATTTTGAAGAATTCTTAAAATGTCATTATTGACAATGAAGCAATTTTTACCAGCATGACTCTGAGGTAAAGGTGAAACGAATGTAGACATAGAGCATTCGGCAAGAGAAAGGGAAGGAAAAAGGGGACAAATAGGCGAAAATTTAAGTCACACATGAAAACTTTAAGGTAAGCGGCTTTTGTACTGGGGCGGACTTTAGCGCCGTATCTGTCATATCGAGTTTTTGCGAATCCTAAAAAAGGGCAACGTTATAAATCTACTTTCTGCTCCAGATTAGATTCTCTTAAAAATATTGTCACGTAGCTAAAGCTGTTGTTTGTTTATGATTTGTTATTGTTATTTTAATTATTTTGTTTGTTATTTTATTTGTTATTTTGTCTATTACTGTTCATGTTCTGAGTATTTTCGCTCTTTGTTCCAAGTATGGTACGCCTTGTGCGTATTGAATAAATAGATAAATAAAGCTTTTTACATGATATTGCTGCAGAAATGTTTACATGTGGTCCAAATTGATGTTATATGCCCACCAATTGATGTTATATATTTTATATGTCCACCCGTTGTAAAGCAACCCCTTGACTTTGCGTTTACATCGCGCGCGTCCTAAAAACACTCAGGGCACCTCAATGGTGCGGAGCTTGTTTCCAAAGTTTGTGTTCGTCTGGATGGTAGCTTGTCGTCCCCTCCAGAATGTTGCTTACCCTTGCTCTGCGTCTTTGACCGCGGCACGCATATATAACAAATCGGCATATGAAAAATGTCTTCGCAACATGCGATAGTGACATGTTGACAAAACTTTGTGGCCTCTATGCTTGATGTCAACAGCTATTGCATGGTGATATTAGCCATGCGTGCCGCAGGCCTTAGACGTAGAGCAGGGGTAGCGGCAACTATGGGAGGAAGGGACGATACCCCTTGATTCAACGGATTTGCGACTGGAAGGCGACCGCTCGCGTTCGCGACGCAGTTTGCGTCTCTCTCGCGAACGTGTTCTCTGATCATTGCCTAGCCTTAATTAGGTAGGAAGCCTCGCCTTCTAGCCGCCAATTAGTTGAATCAAAGCGTATGCGCCTATTACTTCCTTTGCTTCTTGCCTCAATAACAAACTCCAGAGTGCAACGGAGGCATTCGAAGATTTTCGAGGTTGTGGTGAAAGCGAAAGTAAAAGTGCTGAGAACGACTGCACCCTACCTTGCTGAACGATTATTGAAAAGAAGACCCATGTTGATCCAAGAAAGCTGAATGGTAGCTCGTCATAAACTCGTCGCAATATCCGTGTTAGTATATACAACGCCAACGCAGAAACAAGAATACTGGCAAGTATCATCAACCAAACCTCAAACGAAGTTTGCTCGAGGAGAGAAGAAGTACAAATATGTTGTGAAGAATCATATGGATCACTCACTTGATTCTGAAAAGGTTCAGTTACTATAAGCATTGTCTGACTTTTATGCTGCAAATCAGAAACTGCCATTACTCCAGTATTAACGGACTCAAAAGGATACGTCAAGTCAGCCATGAGTGTATGATCATAATCCATCATTTGTGCTTGAGCTATAATATCGGCCTCCTGGAAAACTATAAGGATTTTGGTCTGTTAACATCCTTCCATGGTTTCATACACAACCACTGCTTCGTAAAAAAAATTTTTATACACACAGCCACTGCTTCGTAAAAAAATAAGTTTTTTGCGCCATGTGTCGACAAATTTTGACAGTATGAAAATACGGTATCATTCAAAAGCGTTTTTTGCCTATTTTACTCGAAGTACGGCTTTCTGTTCATCATTTCAAAGCGAGGGACAAGATGCTTTTAATGACACCTTTCGCTTTTTTCTAGCTGATCATCCAAAGGAGTTGCGGGATTCACTATCCTGAAAACCAGTGAACTACTAAAAGTCTCTACCTCCCTTTTCACTAAGTACTCCAAAGAAAAAAGAATGACGAAAGGTTTCGATAGCCTTTTATCGCTGCCGCTGATGCATCTACAGAAGTTACAATCCTTGATTAATAATTTGTGAACACATATTACTTCAAAACTGATTATTAACCAGAACATTTTTGCAAACGCACATTCTTTCTCAATGCCTCAAATGGTCCAAGAAAGCTTGAGTTTGATCTTTCATGTTCCGTGCGTATGATCTGAAAACATAGATTTTATGAACTATTTATAGAACGACATCAGTAAGATTGAACTAGCTCTGTTAGCACCTCATATTTTAAGTCAAGTTCGGTTGCCATATCTTTGAGCAGTTCCATCACTACTCCAGGACCGTATCCGCGTTCTGCCTCTTCTTCGTCTGTGAAATTTGCATAGTTTACCTTAAACGCTAGGATAGCGTATATGGCTGAAAAACTCAATCGACTTACGTAAGGCTCCTCTATTTTTGGCACTAATACGCGTAATGTAGCTCCCCTGAGAGCATCCAGAGAGTCTCGCCTAATCATTGTCTGCTGAAAGAAAATGATCAATCAAATGGTAAAGGTTCGGTTATCCTTGAATCTTGGCATTGTTTTGAACACTTTTCGGCACAGTTGCTGGGCTCGACCAAGATTGGTAAACAACTTTATTGGCTGACGTCGACGTTTCGGCAATCTACGCCTTCTTCAGAGCCTGGAAAGATGAAGTCATAAGTGTCTATCCGCTCAGACGTCAAGTGCCAGGAACAAAACAAACCCGAAAAGATTAGCCAAAGACATTACCAGAGCCAGAAGAACTCTACTCACCTTAGACGCAGCACAATCGGTAGCTGGAGAACAGACCACCTAATGCAAAACTGTGCCTCCAGCCTCCATTTATACGCCTGAGTGACCTGACTTCAGCCAAACCCACAGAGGGCCTGAATAAGGCGCGGGTTCGGTGGTTACTGCAAGGCACTCGTCTTTTCTGTTCAATTTAGGATTTTTCGCAGCAATCCAAAATGCTTCTAACGTTTTGCGTGCCAGGAGTTCGGGCTCAAATGATAAGATCTTCACTGCCAGCACCTTCATGACGGCTTATTCGATGTTGCCCCAGTGGTGTGGAGGGCCTTGATTTATTTAGCCCATCTAGATGCTCCTTGATGCGAACACAAAGAGGGCGCCCGGTCTCTCCGATGTAGGTGTCTCCACATAATAAACACGTGATTCGGTAAATTACTCCTGACACCATACGATTACCCTCTCTGCTATATGGGCTTATTACACAACCTGGAGTCAAACAAATGCAGTCATATATACGGTTGCGAATCAGTCGGCGCTTCAAGTCCGGAGGTGGTATATCGACCACTTTAACGGCCTCTTGCCTCTTGAACTCGCACCTTATCAGGCCCTCTGTGGGTTTGACTGAGGTCAGGTCACTCAGGCGTGTAAATAGAGGTTGGAGGCACAGTTCTGCACTAGGTGGTCTGTTCTCCAGCTACCGATTGTGCTGCGTCTAAGATGAGTATGAGTGTGAGTTCTTGTGGCTCTAGTAATGTCTTTAGCTAATCTCCTCGGGTTTGTTTTGTTCCTGGCACTTGACATTTAAGCGGATAGACACTTATGACTTCGTCTTTCCAGGCTCTGAAGAAGGCGTAGATTGCCGAAACGTCGACGTCAGCCAATAAAGTTGTTTTACCACTCTTGGTCGAGCTCAGCATCTGTGCCGAAAAATGATCAATCAAATCAAACGTAATCGAGAAATTTTGAAGAAATATGAGAGGGCGAAGAGAACTGAAAGTACGATAAATCCTGCGCTTTTACAGAACAAAATCAGGGCAGACGCCAGACATAAATACTGCTGTGATACCCAAAAATACTACACTACTTGCTTACCCAGAAATGCCATTAGCAAACTCCCTATTCTACGCTTATACCTCTTCATTATATCTGGCTATGAAATTAAGCAAGTGTGCATACGACGGTCTGATGCGCGCGAGCATAGGAAAGCAGGTAGAGATTTGCGGCTTTTTTTTTGGGAGAAAAATTTGATTCTAACAAAATGAGATACTTTCAAGGCCCCAGTCTTTCCGTATTCATGTCTCATATGCGTGTCGATGCCACACTGTAAAACTTGCTTTTCTCTATTGTTAAAAAAGTCTCACTGAAAAATAAGAAGAGATTTTAAGCAAGTGGGAAAAGTTCTTGTGACAACATGCTTTCAAGAAACTTTTGACTGCTTCGAACCAAACCAAGATTAGTGTCGACTTCATGTGAGCAACAAGTGGATGGACTGTGCAAAGACAATTTTACTTCTCTAGGCACGCATCTTAAATTGGCCATCAAAGCAGAACTTGACTTCTGCGTGTCAGTTCTGTCACGAGAAACTGAAGCTGTTCAAAACACTTGGAAGCGTGCTGGAGTTCCTTTTGAAATTTGGAGATGAGCAGAAAAGAGGAATGTATAGCCTAACGAATGAACTCGCCCAGTTCTAGAGCAATACCGGATTTGATCTATATCCGAATGCCCAGGGCTCCTCATTCCATTCCTAGCACCGAGCAGGGAGTGGTGGTCTCTATCTGTAAAGGTGAGCCGTCCGTTCCGGCACCGTTAAACAACTCGTCCATTTTCTCAGATAGACGGGAGCAGGCGGTCTGCAAATCCGCGTTTTTCTGCAAGCGGTCAGCAAAATTTTGGGGCCTGGCCAAACCTTCAGCGAGCGATACTTCCGTGTTCTGCCAGCGGCAGCAATACAAAATTTTCTGCAGGCGCTCGCCAAATAATCTCTTTCAGCAGGCGCTTGGACTGTTTGTACGCGGGCGTACGCCGAGCGAAGGAGAGACTCTGTGTGGCTGAGGTGTCATCAATGGTTTAACTACCCGAGTTTGGGGTATTTTCTCTCAGCGGAAGGTACCCAAGCGCTGTGCGATCCTCCCCAAAGGACCGTGCGGCCCTCAAAAAATCTGCATATTCTCGCGAAAAGTCCACGAGAATGCTGGCAATGCGTCACAACTAATCTATAGAAGAACCGCGATTGTTCTCCGAGTCTTCGTCAAAAATTGGCTAACGTTCTTTCAAATTTCTGCAAGCGGACTAAAAGAAATCAGCAAACTATTTTTCCGGTGCCCGCTTGCCCAAAACTCGTATGGCCGCGTGCACTCGGCGATTATCTGAGTTACTGCTTAATCTGCATGCAACGTTTGAGAAGACAAGGCTATATGTTGTTCACCTTTAGGCTCCTACGAAGGTGAACAAGTTAAAACGTTAACCAAAGATGATACCAGTTTTGGTTGAGTGAAGCAGTCAAAAAAATTCCTTGATCATGTCAAGAATCATGGAGGATCATGGACCACGTGCCAGGTCACAGAATGGACTCTTCATAAACCTCGAAATAACGTCGACATTGTACTTGGGTATAGTCTGCCCCACTAAGAAGCAAACTAAAATGGCATGAAGCGCGTCTGCACCGCTGTAATTTTACGTCGCGGCTTCGGTTTGCTAGTGGTGTGGTAGGACCTGTTCGTTCTTCACTCCTTCCTGTTTTTCGGGCAAGGTTCTTCGTGCGCACACGCACCGCAAACCTCTAGCATTGCTAGCGCTCGGTTCCAATCCAGTGTGCTGGACCTGACCTCGATTCGGACAGACAACATGTAAGCCGCACCCGAGATCAGTGATAATCTATGTTTACCAGCCGCTCAATGCCGCTAGGCGGCAACTTCGACTGGCACCTGGCACCTTCGTTGCCTCGTACATGTTTCATATCCTGCACTGCGAAAATATGTAGATTTGTTAGTGAGCTTGGCAGTTCGCGCGAAATACCTCAGTTTAATCCGGTAAATATAGGAAGATTAAGATCTTAAATTCGGCTTCGTCAGTTATTTTATTTCAACATTTAATGCAACGGCTAGTGCAGTCAACCATAGAATGGCTGCAAAGTGTCCGGATTGCTGTGCGGGGTGAATGACGGCACGGTGTCGGAAGTGGACTTGAAGGAGGAACGATAGGTTGATTGTCGTAACTGTATGATCTGAACTATCAGTCTGCTGCATAAATTCTGTACGAAATGGATTTTCGCATTCAAAATATCATAACTTCTTTCAAAATCAACTTTTTTTCAATATTCTCAGTCTCTGTGTGTTGAGCAGTTCTTTAGCTATCAGAAAGGTACTTGCGAAGAATCCCATTAAAGAAAAAGCAGAAACTCAAGAACCTCACAGCGTTCTAAAGTGTCGTCTTCAACATGGCAATGCTCCCTTCCACAATCTCTAAGAAAAGACAGGCACATCGAGCAGTCATGGTTAGATAGAGAGAATTTCGAAGATTATTCTACAGCTTAAAAGTGTCCACAGGATTTAGGGCGCTGAGAGATTTTTTTTGAGCGAATAAAAACGAAGCCGTTTTTCCACCTCGTCTTAGTACATGTATGCATGCCATTCTTCAAATTATAAACTTTCAAAATATTTCAAACTTGCTCCGAGGGGTGAAAAGCAAGTGGTGGCTGGGTTCCGCTAGCCCTTGCTTTACTCTAGCACCTCCAACATTAGACTCATCGATGCCTCTATTCGCAGAAAGTTATTGCTTGTAAAACTTTTATACAAATAAATTTTTCAACAAAAATTCTACTATTGTAACGTCTTTTCGCGTGAAAGTGAGTTTGTACTTATACTGGACTCTTTCACCCTTATTCCTTGACCAACACGAGGACTTGACGACTTAGAAAGCATATTGTAGAGGTTTTCTCGCAAGAACTTTTTCTTAGCTGAAGACCTCTCTCGACCATTTGTCATCGGCCTGCAATCTTGTCAAACTGGAGATTTCATTAGAAGGTGGTATGTGTTAGAAAGAGGAAGAAAAATGCTTTTCAATGGTACAAATGATATCGCATTGCGGTTGAAAATACTCTAGAACGACTGCTCTAAACACAAGGCAAAAAAAATCGCACAGAACTTATGCAGCAGCCTAATACACGTCGGAATAGGGTTTTGACTATCAAATGATGACTGATGGCTGATGGAAAAAGGGCTATCAATGAACTAATATGGTGCCCATGTTCGATCTCTTTTGTTGATGAACTTAGCCGGTTGATGAACTCCGTTGAGAAAACTTGATGCCTAGTTGATTATTAAACAGCCCTCGAGAACTTAACGTATAGAAAGTCGATAAATCGAGTGAAATAGTCAATCTACCTAACCTCTGATTCAACTGGATTGGCTGATGGAAAAAGGGCTTTGTGACCTAATTACGGTTGCTCGCGCCCACGCAGTATCGTCTCTCTCGCGCTCTGCGCTCTGATCACTAGCCTTAACTAGGTCACGAAACCCCGCCTTCCAGCTCCAATCCAGTTGAATCAGGGTATGTCCCGAACAAATGGCTTCTTAACACATACCCCACCCCATACATAGTGTCTGCCGAATTTGGTTTGGATTTCAAGGCTCCTTCTTTCCTTTTGGGCGAAGAAAAAAATTTCTTAAGTAAAACTGCAGAGATCAATGGTTTGATAGCAAAACGTGGATCCCGAAGAAAAAGGCTTTTGAACAAGCTCATCCCATGCATTA